TAGCATCATGTTTAAGAGTCTTGATTTAAGTCTCAAGACAAGAAGATGGCAATAAACTTTTCAAATACATGATTTAACTTGCATTATAGAACAAAATAGCTACAGAATAGAGATGAATAGGAGCAAAATTTTAGGCAGTAAGTTAACCAGAAGCTCGTGCTAGAGTCTAGTTGAAAACAACATTGAAGAAAACTGGGCTAGTAAAGGAAAATAAAATAATTCAAAAAAAAAAAACATGGAGGATAAAATGGTAGATTTTGGTAAGATTTTGGGCAATTTGGAGAGGGAAGGTAGAAAATTGTTAAAGATTACTATAATTTTCTGGCTTAAACATGTACATGGCAAAATTTTGGACTCAAACATGAAAAAGAAAAAGAGGATGTTTTGTTGTTTGCTCTTAGGGAAAAGGTGAGAGATGGAGAGGATACTTTAGGATGCTTAGTTTGAGGAGTTCGTAGAATACCTAAGTAAACTTGTCAAATAAAAAATTGGGTATATTCTCCAAAATAGACCATATAGTTGGTCACAAAACAAGCTTCAACAGAAACAAAAAGACTGAAATAATCCCTTGTATTCTATCTGACCACCATGGACTAAAGCTGGACATCAACAACGGAAATAACAAAAAGCCGACACGCACATGGAAACTGAACAACTTGATACTCAATGACAGCTGGGCTAAGGATGAAATAAAGAAAGAAATTAAAGACTTCCTATAATTCAATGAAAATGAAGGCCCAACATACCCAAATTTATGGGACACATTGAAAGCAGTGCTCAGAGGAAAATTTATAGCACTAAGTGGGTTCAAGAAGAAATTTGTAACATAACATAAAATCACCTTAATGGCCCAACTGAAAACCCAAGAAAAAAAAAGAAGCAGATACACCCAAGAGGAGCAGATGGCTGGAAATAATCAAACACAGGGTTAAAAGCAGTCAATTAGAAACAAATAAAACTATTCAAAGAATCAATGAAACAAAAAGCTGGTTCTTTGAGAAAATCAACAAGATAGACAAACCCTTAGCCAAACTAACTAAAAAGCAGAGAGAATCTATCCAAATCAGCAAAATAAGAAATGAAAAGGATGACATAACTACAGACAGTGAGGAAATCCAAACAATCATTAGGTCATACTACAAAAGCCTATATGCCACAAAATTTGAAAACCTAAATGAAATGGACAATTTTCTTGATAGATTCCATCTTACAATATTAAGTCAAGATCAGGAAGAAAGACTGAATAGCCTTATTTCCCTCAAGGAAATTGAAGCAGTCATTAACAGTCTCCCTTCCAAGAAAAAGCCCTGGGCCAGAGGGTTTCAGCACAAAACTCTACCAGACCTTCAAAGAAGTGCTAACACCAATTCTCCTCAAAGTATTCCACAAAATAGAAACAGAAGGAACATTAACAAACTCATTCTACGAAGCAACAGTCACCCTGATACCTAAACCACACAAAGACCCAACAAAAAAAGAGAACTTCAGACCTATCTCTCTTATGAACATTGATGCAAAAATACTCAATAAAATACTTGCAAATCGAATCCAAGAACACATCAAAGATATCATCCACCATGACCAAGTAGATTTCATCCTAGGCATGCAAAGGTGGTTCAACATATGGAAATCCATCAGTGTAATCCACCGCATAAACAAACTGAAGGAGAAAAACCACATGATCATCTTAGATGGTGAAAAAGCATTTGACAAAGTCCAACACCCATTCAAGTTTAAAGTCTTGGAGAGATCAGGGATACAAGGCACATATTTAAACATAGTAAAGGCGATATACAGCAAGCCTATAGACAACATCAAACTCAATGGAGAGAAACTTAAATCAATCCCACTGAAATCAGGGACAAGACAAGGCTGCCCTCTCTCTCCATATCTCTTCAACATAGTACTTGAAGTTCTAGCCAGAGCAATAAGACAACTGAAGGAGATCAAGGGGATACAAATATGAAAGGAAGAGGTCAAAGTGTCACTATTTGCAGATGATATGATAGTATATATGAGCAACACCAAAAATTGAACCAGAGAACTTCAGCTGATAAATACCTTCAGCAAAGTAACAGGATACAAAATCAACTCAAAAAAAAAAAAATCAAAAGCCATCCTGTATACCAATGACAAAATGGCCGAGAAAGAAATTAGGGAAACAACATCCTACATAATTTCCACTAATAACATAAAGTACCTTGGGGTGACACTAACCAAGCAAGTGAAAGACCTGTTTGAGAAAAACTTCAAGTCTCTGAAGAAAGAAATTGAAGAAGATATCAGAAGATGGAAAGATCTCCCGTGCTCATGGATTGGTAGGATTAACATTGTGAAAATGGCCATCCTGCCAAAAGCAATCTACAGATTCAACGCAATTCCTATCAAAATACCAATTCAGTTCTTCACAGACCTTAACAAAAAGATTCTCAGCTTCATATGGAGAAACAAAAAACCCAGAATCTCCAAAACGATCCTGTACAACAATAGATCATCTGGAGGCATCTCCATCCCTGATCTCAAGTTGTACTACATAGCAATAGTAATAAAAACTGCATGGTATTGGCACAGAAAAATAAAGGATGATCAATGGAACCGAATAGAAGACCCAGAAATAAACCCACACAACTATGAATACTCGATTTTTAACAAAGACACCAAAACCATTCAATGGAAAAAAAGACAGCATCTTCAACAAATGGTGCTGGTCCAACTGGATGTCAACAGGCAGAAAAATGAAAATAGATCCATATTTATCACCCTGCACAAAACTAAAGTCCAAGTGGATCAAAGACCTCAACATAAAACCAGATACTCTAAATCTGTTAGAAGAAAAAGTAGGTAACAGCCTAGATCTCATTAGCACAGGAGACAATTTCCTGAACAGAACACCAACAGCACAGGTTCTAAGAGCAACAATCAATAAATGGGACCTCATGAAACTGAAAAGATTCTGTAAAGCAAAGGACAATGTCATCAAAACAAAATGACTGCCTACAGATTGGGAAAGAATATTCACCAAACTTTTATCTGACAGAGGGCTAATATCCAGTATATATAAAGAACTAAAGAAGCTGAAAAGCAACAAACCAAGTAATCCAATTAAAAACTTGGGAACAGAGCTAAACAGAGAACTCTCTGTAGAGGAATATCGAATGGCAGAGAAACACTTAAAGAAATGCTCAACCTCATTAGCCATTAGGAAAATGCAAATCAAAACGACCCTGAGATTTCACCTTACACCCATCAGAATGACCAAGATGAAAAACTCAAGTGACAACACATGCTGGAGAGGTAGTGGAGAAAGGGGAACCCTCTTCCATTGCTGGTGGGAATGTAAACTGGTACAACCACTTTGGAAGTCAATCTGGCGCTTTCTCAGACAATTAGGAATAGTGCTTCCTCAAGACCCAGCTATACCACTGCTAGGTATATACCCAAAATTTGCTCAAGTACAAAACAAGGAAATTTGCTCAACCATGTTTATAGCAGCTTTATTTGTAATAGCCAGCACATGGGAACAACGCAGATGTCCATCAATGGAGAAATGGATACAGAAATTGTGGTATTTTTACACAATGGAATACAACTCAGCAATCAAAAAGGAGGAAATCATGAAATTTGCAGGCAAATGATAGGATCTAGAAAAGATCATTCTGAGAGAAGTATCCCAGAAGTAGAAAGACAAACACGGTATATACTCGCTTATATAGACCTATAAGATATGATAAATATAATGAAATCTATACACCTAAAAAAGATAATCAAGAGAGCAGACAAGGGGTAAGATGATCAATCCTCATTTAGAAAGACAGATGGGATGTGCAATGACCATATGACAGGAGTCTACTGAGCACATTTGAAAGACTCTAACTAGCAGTGTTTTCAAAGCAGACACTAAGACTCATAACCAAACCTTCAGCAGAGTACAGGGAATCATATGAAAGAAGGGGAGTTAGTATGATGGGGAAAGAATAGGAGCTCCACAAGGACCAAATATATCTGGGCACAGGGTCTTTTCTGAGACTGACACTCAGCCAAGGACCATGTATGGACATAACCTAGAACCTCTGCTCAGATGTAGCCTGTGGTAGCTCAGTAACCAATTGGTTTCCCATAGTAAGGGGAACAAGGACTATTTCTAAGAGGAACTCAATGGCTGGCTCTTTGACCTCCCCACCCCCCAATGGAGGAGCAGTCCTTTTAGGCCACAGACGAGCACTTTGCAGCCAGTCCTGAAGATACCTGATAAAACGGTCAAATGAAAGGGGAGGAGGTCCTCCCCTATCAGTGGACTTGGTAATTGGCAGGGAGGAGATGAGGGAGGGAGGGTGGAATGTGGGAGTGGGATACAGCTAGGATACAGAGTTAACAAAATGTAACTAATAAGAAAATTAAAAAATAAATAAATAAATAAAAGTTGGGTATAGGTATGAGTAAAGAAGAAATGGAAAGTAAAATGTAACACTTGACATTTATGTTACATAGTAACTTTACTATGCTCTTTTTACCTTTCACCTCTCTGTATCTTGCTGCCCTTACCCCTTTAGTTTCCTCTTGAGGGCATTCTTTTTACAAGACATTTAACCAGAGATTTTTAGGTGATGCTCTACTGTAGAGAACCTAACCCCATGGAAGTGTGTTAAAAATAAGTCAGTAAAACAATTATTTATACTATGTGCATGTTTATATATGCATGCTTTGTTTTATGACAGAACAAAGTTAAGGAAGGAAAAAAACCACCAAATACTGCTACTTTTACTGAAGAAATTAAATAATATAAGAATATAATTGTTTATTTGACCAACAGATTGAACATTAACCATCTTAGTTACAGAAGCTGTCTTCTAATCGTCTGGTCAGAATTCTGACATCAAGGTGGATAAGAATGGGTGACAGAAATACACAGATCATAAGCATTTTGTTCCTTCAAGAAATATGGGTATAAAGGTAGGCATTCAAAGCATTCATATTTTCTTCCAAGGATTAAGTTTTCTTACCCTCCAATATCTTGCTTCACAAAGTCCCCGGGTTCTTGTCGTCTTGATTCCCCTTGGCCAGTGGTTCCATGGAGAATACTAATCAGGAAAAGAAGTCCAACTCTGGTCACATAGAAGAGCCACATTTGTGTGATTATCATCTTCTTAGAAAGAAACTTGGAGAGACCTGTGATACCCATAGTACAGGGGAAGGAGACCGACAAATGGGTAGAAAACAAAGGGATAGAAAAAAGGTTTAGAAATGCTTAAAATTGTTGTTTCTCTAGTATCCAGCCAGTTATTTAACACTCTTAACCTGAACAAGGTAAAGAAATATTTGTTCCTAATATATGCTTCTTCTGAACATAATCCTACCAAGAAGAGCAAAAGGTAGAACAAAGCTCCTTATGTCAGTAATCAGGAAAATGAATTTACAGCTGCATCCCTCTCCTTGACTCTTTGTATGACTGGGTGAGTTGTGGAACTTCCTTAAGCCTCAGTTACCTCTTGTACCTCCCATGATGTTAGATAGATGGTTCAGGACTTAAGGTACTCTTCGAGAGGACCCCTGTTTAATACCTAGAACCCATAGGGTGGGTCACAATTGTCTATGAAATTCCGTTCCAGGGAATCTGACATCCTCTTCTGGTTTCTGTGGGCACCTGGGATATACACATTACACAGACATACATGTAGGCAAAACACCCATAAAATAAAATGAAAATAAAAATATTTTTTAATGATAGTCTCTCATATCTCAATTCTATTTCCCTAAAAGACTTGTTTGATCTTTCACATCACAGAGGACTTTGGTTTAGTTAACTATATAACTGCAAAAATTCTAAAACAGTAAGACCAGAAGTCTCTTTACAGCATTGTAAAGATTGTTTCTCATCTTCCTGGAGTTAAACAATTTACCAACATATTGAAAAACTTGAGCAGACAAATGAGTTCACCAGATAGAAAAAAAAATGCTGAGTGATACAATATAATGTATCTTGAATAAGAATGCATTTCCCCATAAAGACCTAGTCAAGGACAGTTCAACTTCTTTATGAAGGAGTCACAACATAAGAGAAATCTAAGCCTAGCTGCATAGCATAGACATACTAAAGTTATGAAATTATAATAATGATAAAAATTAGTAATTTGGAGTTTGTTGGAGGATCCAAGAGGGTGGTGCGGGGAGGACACTCTTTCTGACCAGCAGCACAGTAGGATCTGCACATTGACCAGCAGTCAGAACTCTGGGTCCTAAAATACCAGTGATTGTGTTTCCCAGGTGAGAGGAAAACCAATGGTGTGGGATTCAATCAGCTTCAGATCACCCAGCTAAACCACAGAAGAGTTCCCTGGTCTCACCAGATACTCAGGCACCAGCTCAGAGCCACATGATGCCAGAGTGCTCTGATCACTGTCCCAGAGTGCCCCACCACACCAGAGACTGGGATTTACAGGATAGAGAAAACCCCACAGTGCAGGAAGTGATTGGGACCGATCTTAGGTCACCCAGACAATCTCTGGAAAAAGATCTGGGTCCGGCGGTCACCCAGGCGCCAGCCCAAAGTTGGAATGCTTAGCCACCAGCATGGAGTCCTGCCTGTGCACCAGACTCATCATCCCAGACAGAACTGATATCCCCAGGGCACCAGAGTCTGAGTTTTATTGTCAGGTAGAAGGCACAATGAGAGGAAGAGCAGGTCTGACCTTGGAGCACTCAGCCGACACTATCTACCCCTCCCCCCAAAAATAAGTTCGCAGGAAAAGTCCCTTGGTTGCTGAAAGAGCCCAGGTACCCAGGCACCAAGTCACCCAGTGACCAAAAATACGGAGCCATGTGCCTGTGCTTGTTTGCTCTACTTGCCATCCCAGACAGACCTGCAAACCCCCAAACACCACAGACTGGGGAAAACATTGGTTTCAACCCTCAGGACATCCAGTTTCAGAAAAGTTTCTCGGTTCCCACAGGCTCTAAGCTCTGGCCTTCTACTGCACACAAGAGTGCTATGGCTCACCTGCCACAGACTATGGTTAGGGTACTGGGGCACACCACTCCAACCTCAGACCTACAAAAGCCTGAGAGCCATCGGAGCAACCCTCAGATACTGCACCAAGGTGCAACCAGTTATCTCTAGCTAAACTGATGAAACCACGGGACTCCGTCGTTATTCACAAGGGTTGCACCCAACAAGTACAACTTAACAGCAGCAGCTACAGCTCACTGAATTCAGAGCAAGAAACCAAGCAGCAGGACAGCCGTCTCTAGGACTTCTGTTTATGAGTGGAGAGCCTTGCTGAACACCACAGAAACCACACAGGTCCATATGCCTGAGGTGAACTGTAACAATTCCTGAGAAGCACCACCATTCAGTTGACCATACTCAAAAAATTAAGATCTCCTTCAGAATCCTACAACGAGGATTCTCCCACCCCAGGACACTAGCAGGCACCAGAAATTAACAGACAACACCTGAGATGTACAGATGGGTAGAGGCCAGCATAAAAGCACAACCGACAACAGGCAAAGCAGTATGGCATCCCCAGAACCCAGGTAACCAGAGGCAAGTATCCCGGGACACCCTAACATAAGCAAAATTCAAGAAAATGACCTTACATCTATGCTTATGAAGAGGTTAATGGATGAAACAAATAAAATGCATAAAGAATTAGAAGAAGATAAAATTAAACAGATTATGGCCATCCTTAAAGAAATACAGGAAGATGTAGCCAAACAGTTTATGGCTTTCAGGGAGGAAATGATTAAATCAATGAAAGAATTAAAAGAAACAGAGGAATGTTCAAACAAACAGGTGAAAGAATTGAAGGAAAATATAGTCAGACAGGTGAAGGAAATCAACAAAACAGTTCAAGATCTGAAGATAGAATTAGAAAAATTAAAGATAACATAAATGGAGGAAAAAAATGGAGAACTTAGGAAAGAAAACAGGGACTACAGAAGTAAGCATAACAAACAGACTACAGGAGATAGAAGAAAAAATCTCAGACATGGAAGATACAATGGAAGAAATAGATGCATCCGTCAAAGAAAATGTTAACTCTAAAAAATTCCTGACAAAAACTATCCAAGAAACCAAAGATAACACGAAAAGACAAAACCTAAGAAGAATAGAAATAGAGGAAAAATAAGATTCCCAACTCCAAGACCCAGAAAATATTTTCAACAAAATCATCGAAGAAAATTTCCCCAACTTAAAGTTGAGGCCTATAAGCATACAAGAGGCATACAGAACACATAATGAATTAGACCAGAAAAGAAAATCCTTCTGCCACATAATAATCAAAATAGTAAGTATACAGAACAAAGAAAAAAATGCTAAAAGCAGCTACGGTAAAAGACCAAGTAACATATAATAGCAAAACCATCAGAACCACACCTCACTCCTCAACATAAACTATGAAAAAAAGAAGGGCCTGGACAAAAACAAATTTCAACAATACCTACACACAAATCCAGCATTATAGAAGATACTAGAAGGAAAAATACAACCCAAGAAAAATAACTACTTTCAAGAAATCACAGGAAATAAGTAACGTCACTACAGCAAAACAAAAGGTAGCCAAACACAAACACACTACCATGGCCATCATCATTATCAAAGGATCTAAAAGCCACTGATCATTAATCTCCCTCAACATCAATGGACTCATTTCTCCAATAAAAAGACACAGACTAACAGAATGGATACGTAAACAAGACCCAACAATCTGTTGCATACAAGAAACACACTTAAATCACAAAGATAGACATTACCTGAGAGTAAAGGGCTGGAAGAGGGTTTTTGAAGCAAATGGACCCAAGAAGCAAGCAGGAGTAGCCATCCTAATATCTAATAAAGTAGATTTTCAACCAAAATCAATCAAAAGAGATAGAGAAGGACACTTCATACTCATCAAAGGAAAAATCCACCAGGAAGATATCACAATCCTGAACATCTATGCCCCAAATGCAAGGGCACCCACATTTGTAAAAGAAACTTTAATAAAACTTAAACCACACGTAGACCCCCACACAATAACAGTGGGAGACTTCAACACCCCACTCTCAACAAAAGACAGGTCAACAAAACAGAAATTAAACAAAGAAATAATAACTCTGACAGAGGTCATGGATCAAATGGACCTCACAGACATCTACAGAACCTTTCACCCAAACTCAAAAGAATTTACCTTCTTCTCAGCACCTCATGGAACCTTCTCCAAAATAGACCATATAGTTGGCCACAAAGCAAGCCTCAACAGATACAAGAAGATTGAAATAATCCATTGTATCCTATCTGACCACCACGGACTAAAGCTGGACCTCCCTTGTAACTTGTCTGATCACCATGGAATAAAGCTGTACTTCAACAACAACAGAAATATCAAAAAGCCTACACACACATGAAAACTGAACAACTGACTACTCAATGACATCTGGGTCAGGGGAGAAATAAAAAAATTAAAGTCTACCTAGAATGCAATGAAAATGAAGGTACAACATACCCAAACTTAAAGGACACAAGGAAAGCAGTGATAAGAGGAAAGTTCATAGCACTAAGTGCCTTCAAGAAGAAATTAGAAACATCTCATTCAAGCAACTTAATGGCTCACCTAAAAGCCAAGAGAAAAAAGAAGCAGACACACCAAAGAAAAGTAGACAGCTGGAAATAATCAAACTCAGGGCTTAAATCAATCAATTAGAAACAAAACAAATCAAAGAATCAATGGAACCAAGAGCTGGTTCTTTGAGAAAATCAACAAGATAGACAAACCCTTAGCCAAACTAACTAAAAGGCAGAGAGAAACTATTCAAATGAGCAAAATCAGAAACAAAGAGGGGGACGTTACAATAGACACTGAGGAAATCCAAACAATCTTAAGGTCATACTACAACACCCTATATACCACAAAATTTGAAAATATAATGAAATGGACAATTTTCTTGATAGATTCCATCTACCAAAATTAAATCAAGATCAGGTAAATAGACTGAATAGTCCTATATCCCCAAGGAAATAGAAGCAGTCATCAACAGTCTCCCTTAAAAAAAAGCCCAGGGCAAATGGTTTCAGCGCAGAATTCTACCATACATTTAAGGAAGAGCTAAATCCATTTCTCTTCAAAGTTTTTCACAAAATAGAAACAAAAAAAAAAACATTAGCAAGCTCATTCTATGACACCACAGTT